ACTCCATTATTTTTTTTATTTGAACACAAAACTGTATCATTTGCCCTCGGTGCGCCCTTGAGCTATTGTGCACCCCAGGTGCCCCTTAATCGGAGTATCAGGCATTCACGTTTGAAAGTCACACGGCTAACGTCTGATATAGCATGCACATTTTATGCGACCGGACGCGCCAGCCAATCGGAGTCAACTTCAAAAATTGTGACGTCATTTCGATCAGAAATGTGGACTAAGCTGTTGATTGGTCAATTTGGCTGCCATGTTTTTTGTAATGCAACAACGGGTTACGGAAGACCCGATAGAAGGCGCCCGCTGAATGGTCAGAATCTGGAGATAGGTCAAGACGCAGTCTTGTTTTGCATAATTGATCGCTAAATCTGCTCGCATTTCACAGACCCTTGACCCTATCTATTCCATAGATTAGTGCCCCCCCCCCCCCCCCCCCCCCCCCCCAGTTTAACCCTAATTTACGCCACTGACTATACTCGGCGATTTTTTTTTATATTTTTTTTTTGCACCTGCTAGCATTTCCCCCCGGCACCGACAATTTGGAAACTATGTCGGCCACCATCAGCTGTCAAGGCCAGCCGGCCGTATAAAGCAAATTCGAAAAGCGTCAGGGGAAGGGGTAACTCACTTTGCACTCTAGGGGCGCTCTTGTCCGTATAGAGGGCAGAGGTATCTGTAGCAGCGATTTAAAAAGAGTTGTCTTCGCAACTGTTTAATGTATTACTTAAAAAAGGGACACTCGGAGTTGGGGGTTGGGGTGGGGGGGGGGAGTGCCAGGGGGGATGACACCCGCCCCCCTGATCCCCTGTCTGAAGCACAGATAGTTTTACAATTATTACCTTATTCTTATTTCAAAATAAGTTGGTGGCCTTTTTTCTGATACTGCACATATCCATTTAAAGCTTTAGAACCATCAAACTTAGGCCTAATATACCGTCAAAAAAAAATAAAATGGCTTTTAGTTGTGTTCCACAAAGAAATATCTAAGAAATAACTACAGTGTTATTTATTTTTATTTTTTAATAGAAAAATAATCGGTTCTGCGAGAACTAATGACACTTAACGACAGAGCTGGCCATTGAAATTTGCATAATCGCTTCATCTATAATAAGGTCAGCCTGGACAACAGCTGTGAACACGGAGCTAGTAATTTCAAGATATCATAACAGTGCGGGAACCCGGATGATAGCACACGTCGGTTTTGTTTACTCAGAGTCGACCTGAGAACATAGCCACCATTCCGTTTTCACTTCCCCCCTATTCACTGCATCACATTCTTTGTGAATGATATTCAACTGCAGTTGTGTTTGCCATGCATCCAAGGACCTCGTAAAACCCGTTCTCGTGTTGAACGAACAAGAGAACGGAGTTTCAAATGCCAAACGGACACGTGAACGGTGTTCGCGATCGCGGGGAGTAGAACGTCAACTACAACAAAGATGGCAGACTACCTCAACTAAGGCCTACATTTTAAAAAAAATGTGTGCATAAAATTGAAAGCTCATTTTAGCGCATAAGCATTAATGATAAAAAAAAATCATAAAATTTTACGTGATCATAATTATTGCATAGAGTGGGCCTGTCTTTGCTAATTTGTATAGCTGTTCCTGGATTTAAATCGTTTTCCCTTCTTTTCATTCGACGTTTTACGGCGGCTGCCATCTTGAATTTTCTCCCAGCTGCACTCCACACGCACTGACTAAGTTGGGCGTTTGTAATCGGCAAATCGCCGACACAGACGTATTAATGAGACCAAAGTTCGTATATGGGAAAAATAGGACACTGGATTTCGTACAGGGCCCGATGAAGCAAGCATGATTTTAAGGTTGCAGACCAGTAAATCGGTCCGAAATTGCCTGCGACGGCCAAATCACGATTTGCATGCCCTCAAAATCTGCAGTATTTAAGCATGCTGTGGGCCATGAACTTGAGGGTTTGTAAAAAATATTGGTGGAAGCCGTGCACATGACTGTGAGTTTGTAGTTCCGTTCAATTTGGATGAAATTGGGGGCCTAAAAGCGCTGTATTTTGCAATGGAATGTAGGCATCGTTTTTCAACATGGCGATGGGCTTCAAGACTATTTTCAGGGGTGATCATCTTCGGATGGAAATTTCTCTTAAAAGTCATCAGTTAACACCCCCCCCCCCCCCCCAAAAAAAAAAATTGAAAAGAAAATGAAAGATGATGAAATAAGCTTTAATTTGATGTGTGTCTCGAACACCTTGGAGAGTTGTGAGTATTTTTCCCGAATTTCTGAAGTGTGAGCATTTACCATTGGGGTTAGCCCGACTGCGTCTTGCCGTACGGTACTATCGCAAGCTCCGTAGTAGCTTGCGATAGTACTGTACGGCCAGACGCAGTCGGGCTACATTGGGGTCTATGGAAGTTTGTTAACTGGTCCGCTACCTTAATTGGTCTGCGGGGAAGTGTGCCCCAAGCGTTGGGTAGGTAAACAAGGCTATGACGAATCAACACGAGAATTATGGACTCAAGCGGCGATTTCTTCAAGAGACCACAACTTTCTTAAAGTTGTTGACACGTGGAAACTGGATTCAAATGTCCAGATATTGTTACAATGTACATAATCTGCATGATTTATAAAAGACAAAAAATGTTTAGTGGCTTTTGCACAACAAAGTAAGTTTATGTCTCTTTCCTAGTCTGCTTTTTACCTATCATGAACGTGGTGGTGCCCTTCCTCATGAGTAGCTGGCTACTAGTACTACCTGTTTCACTTTTCAGCGGAGTGTCCTATATTTCCCATACGACCTTTGGCGGTACGCACTTATGTTATGATATAACTCTATGGTTGTACATTGTATACCACTCGTTCGTACGTTGGGGGCGCGAGTCCGCCGTATGGCGTGTCGTTCTCCCACTGGAAGTTGCGACAATAAAGTTCCGAATTTCGTAATTTTTGAACGTTATGTCTAACGAAGTATCCTGTAGAGGGATACGGGATGAGCAGCGTCTTCTTTTCGGCCTTCTGATTACCCTCCCGGCCCCTGCCCTCTGCCACATCTGAAGCTTCCTTTCGTATTTAACTTGATCCCTACTTGCTTCTTTTTCAATCAGTTAAAACGTTTTACAGATGCAACGTCACAGTTCTTTCATTTGCTATTGCCGACATCATCACCATTCTCTTCAAAGTGTGTCATGATCATTCGAAGGTAATAGGTATTACCAAAGATCGTATTTAGGGAAAGATAGGACAGTCAATTAAAACAAAAAGTGAAACATGAATTACTTGCTCATGATGCGATGGGAAAGGTCGCCTCTAGCGCTAGGTAGATGAAAAGCAGTTTTGCTTTCGTACACTCAACGTAATAACTTAATAACGTCAGTTGTGCAAAGCCACTAAACTTTTTTGTTTCCTTGGTAAAATCATGCAGATATATAACATTTTTAAGCAGTGTATTCTCTGATTAATAACACCACTCATGCGCTTTATGGGAAAATGCCTAAAAGTGCCTATTTTTGTTTGACAGTGTTCAGTATTATATTAGGCTAATGAGCTTACTGTACGAGAAACATGCATATACAGTTTTCATAGATTGGGTTGGCAATATGAACAATTATATACCACCAAATCTTTCCACTTTTCATCATTGTGTTCTATTGTTTGTGTCTTTTATTCTCAACAAGTTTTTTTGTTTAAGTAAACAATATATTTTAAATTAATTGTTAAATTAAAAATAGAATACGGAGTTTTCAAGGCGAAAATAAAACTTGAAGCTAGTTTCCATATTTGAACAACTTCATTAAAGTTAAAAACTGTTTAAGCAATCGCTGCTAGAGTCTTATTATATTAGTTACATTGCCCGGTCTCTGCCCCCCCCCCAATAACTTAAAAGTAACAAGCAGTGCTCAATCTCAAATTGTTACTGTTTTCACTAACAGGTAAACTTTATTCCCCATTTTATTCGTTTTTCCGTTCGTTTATTTATTCCTTTATTCATTTCTTAATTTCTTCATCTTTTTAAAGTTTTTTTCTCCTTCTTCAATGAAAATCCCGCTCGCCCGTAGCCCCATACGCGTGTACCTACCTAACGTAAGTGGCACCCTTCCTTAGCCCAATTTAATGACGTCTCGTGTTTCACAGCTCACCATACACAAATATACCCAGTGGCCTATCTTCCCACGATATTTGGTATTACATTACTTATTCTGTTTAACCAGCAGGGGTAACGAGCGTTTCCTAACACTGGGTCGGTACAGTTACTATCACTGATCCGCTGTCTCGGTGAATAGCGCCACCAATGTTTTACACAATGGCGTGTTCATGGAATGAGGTTACCATGTACCACACGATGGGTGGTCAGTGAGATTACTGGAGGGGGGGGGTCTTTATTCAAGAACATTAATTGGCTTGAAATGGCACGCAAAATGCATGCAAAATAATGCAAGCGGAGATCTTTCTAAAAGGCTTAAATTTATAAGGACTAAATATAATTGAGAAAAATTGAATTGTCAACAAAGTCCAGGTATCTTGGCGTTTTTCAATGTTTTTGATGAGGCCTACTTCATGCAATTTTCTTCCCACAAGCCCTCAGCCCTCACCCCCCACGAACATTTGAGAAAAGCACCACTAAGAATTGTACCAAGTGATATTGGTTGATGCTGGGTTTTTCATAAAAGTGTAAGAGTTGATATTTCATTTCTTTCCACTTAAAATTAAAATGATCAAATCAAAATTCTATTAAAATGTCACCAAAAAAACAGAACACCACCTTCCCGCCCGCCCCGATCAAAATAGGGAAGTAAGGTTATGCCGTATATGAGTGCAATAATGTATGAGGAATTCCCCTTTGACATCACAGATAAATATGGGAAGCGATAATAACGCCAGCTGTTTTTATATTTTCAACGAGGCCCGATGATGTCATTCAACAAACGACTCATCGGGTGGGTACTCATAATGCACATCGGCCTTCCGAGTCCCGTTCGGCATCGACCCGAAGAAACGAGTAACCTTCGGCATCGACTCGGCACGGCTTCGGCGCATATTCGTTGAATGGTCGGCCATATTGATTTTCAGGATCCATGGAGCTATAAATGTATCGCACTTCTTGACTGGATTTGTGGAAAAATTAGGACATGTACCTCAAAGCAGACCTAGTGCACCGACACAGGGATATTACAGGAGTGGCGCTGGTGATTTTCACCGCAGAGGCTGGGTGTCTTGTCCCTGTGTGAGTATTTTTAGTCGGCACGTCAAACGAGTCTATATTTTCCCATTCGATAACGTTGTAATTCGCCTTACACGTACATGTACACCAATCATGATGAATCGTACATGTTGGCTCATGTTGGCCATGTTGGCTGGGAGTTTGGGAAGGGCCACGAAGAAATCGTCTTGTCAGCGTCAGTCATCATAGGTTTGGTCATTTGTGTTTTTAACATGAATAAATTTAAACATGAAATAAAAAAAATGATGAATATGAAAAGATAGGATCATGAAATTTTGAATGATGAATAGTAAATAAAATGACCGCCATTTCTTGACTGGTCTTTGCTGTTGATGTCACAGCATGCCGTGGCAGCAGTACATCGACAACACTGATCAAGATAAATTTTCTAATATTAGGCTCTTTTGGTGATTTTTTTCTGGCTTATATTGAACCTGGGTTTACTTTTAAGATATCAGGCTGGCGTTGAGAAATTGAAAACTTTTGGAATTTTTGAAATCGGCTGACCAGTGGAGATAGGATATATTTCAGTTTTCACTTAAAAAAATTAAAGGCAATTGGTGCCTTTTTATGGACTTGTAATAATGCAGTATGTAATCTTATTATCCTCTTTATTTAGCCATGTCACACTGTCTATCGTGTTCAACTGACTGACATAAGCGAAAACCGTATGATGTCACACGTCACTGACACAGTGCAGCGCGATCCGTTCTGCCCATGCATCACTCACAGATCATGCTGGATTTGCATTTTATAACAACCTTTTCAGTAATAAAAACCTTAAATCTGAAACTTTATATTTCCGTTGGCTCATAAAAATCAGAAAAAGAAAGTTTCTGAAATGAAGCTTAGTGTCTAATTTTGCTTGTTTCCAACTGCAGATCGATGTGAGTTGTGAGTCTCACACACATAGTTTATCAGAGATTTCTGAATAAAAAGAAATTTGCGCGGTAGATTTTTAACCAATCAGAATGCACGGAAACGGGAAAAAATAGTCAGTCCGTCCGAGTCGAGAAAAGTTCAAGAAAATCAGGCCGAAGTGCAAATGGCAAAGATGCCAGGGATTTGCGCACAGAGGTATACGCAATGGAGCACCTCGGGCATTGCATCACATTTTTAGCGATATTTTCAGAACTGATTATTTGATGTCATTTAATTTGGGGTAATATTAACTGAAGATATCAGGAATTATGATGGGTAAATTTCATTTTTGTAAGCTGCAAACTTTTTAAGTTACGATTTTATAAAGTTTGCCATCATGTTGAGGTCCGTTGTTTTTGTCCACGGGAAAAGTCACATGCAGAAATAACCCTGGGGCCTACATCATCAGGTAATTCACCCCAGCCTTTGTCATATTTCAAGTAACTACATGTAGGCCTAGGGCTACAACTCAAACTGCTCTAAAAAATCATGTCATGATCTTAGTTTTTCCGTTATTGTGCATCGGCATTTTGAGAGTCAAATTTGCAAGACGCGCATCGCTGTGTCATATTTGTTTTTGCTGTAATTAAAGAAATGGATAGATTTGGGGATTGGTATTTTATAGCAAATGTTGTTACACTGACCTGTTTAAAGTTTTGTGTTCGTAGATGATGGAAAAACCAAGGGAAAAGCTGGGAATTCTGAACCGTTGAAAACAGTCACTTAATTGATTTTGACTGAAAGGACAACTTGGCAAAGAATGTATGTTTGCATCTAGGAGGGTTTATGTAAATTTTAAACCTCACTACCCTTATAGATACATAAACATGAGAAGTTTGTAATCGCGTCCAAGCTTTGAAAAATCCAACACGGTAAAACACATCCATGTCAAATGTGGGATATGTTCCAATGTATAGTCAAGTGGCCTGACCCAGCCAGTAGCATCCATGGTGGGTCCAGAACATCGCAGAGCAGACTGGCATGGCTGAGCGAGTGGCGCGACCATGTAAAAAAATCAGACCAGCCCTGATATCACTTTATTTCAAAGTAAATATTTCCAGTTGAAGATACCGTAAAGGTATAGTGGATTCGTTTGCTAATTTTATAAAGATATATGCGAAAGAATAGTGTACACAAAAAATATTGATTGATTTCGGTGTATTTTATTGCATGTCAGTGAAATGGAGGACTGTTTTCAACTGTAAAAACATGGGCGTTTTTTGATTAGGAAATAGAAATTATATATAAGAGGATTAACCCTAACTCCTGAGGGGGTGTGTAAAATCGTATTGAAATTGGAGGAGTCAGTACTGATGTACGTTGAAGTCAAATGTACGTGGTATTAGATGGTGAAATTTCATTGGGGACTGTTCATGTCACATACTGCAAAAGTTTATGTATGACGACACGATGGACTTTGCGGAGTACATCACCTCATGTTGCCCAGGTACATCACCTTTCATCGTTCTCAAAGACTTTTGAGCATTTTCGTCCACTCTACTTTGTTACAACACAGCTGGAATTGACATTGAGCACAAGGTAGGTGATGTTACCTGGCACGTCCACGTGTCCATGCGGACTTGCGCTTGTGTCAACGCGGACCTGCGTGTGTGTCAATGTGAGTTTGTCTTACATTCACTATGTGGACTTGAGAACAAAAGATGTCCATATAATGCAGGTTGTGTTGACGTTATGTGGACTAAGCCGTGTCCACATAACGTTTCACCCTCCCTGGAAAACAGGTTTTGAGGCATTTTTTGGGTTGGGTTTATCTGTGGCAAAATGAAGAGAAACACTAAAGGGAATCACAGAAAAAAAAAGGGTTGAAAGAGTTTCACAGTTAAAGTAAAGTTATTTTTTGTACCAAGTTTTCTTAACTACACGAAAACAAAGGAATGTCCGCATAGCGTATGTAAAACAAACATGTACGGACCTGCGTGTGTGTCAACATTTCATCAAAGACCGAAGCATTGGACTGTTCAATTAAAATGTAAAAAACAGAAAAAAAGTTCTTTTTATAGAAATGATATTTTAATTATCATACATGTATTGTTACTTTTCGGAAAATAAAACCAAGCTACCGGTTAGGCCTACTACCGGTATAACAAAACAATTGTCTGTTGTGATGTAGTCCAATGATTTTGTTCGCCCTCGGGGGCGAAGCCTTGGGTGCCATTTGCACCCCCCCGGGTGAACAAAATGCCATGGACTACTGATCAGCAGACAACAATTGTATATTTCTACATGTACTGTCGTGATGTCATAATTTACGTTAAACATTGGCAGTACAGTTTGATGCTAGATTTTACAGTGTCAATACCTAATCTCTGTATGAATCATTTGATACATTATCATATTACATACATACGTACCAGTACACAACACGTGAACACTTTGTGCAGTCGTGCAGATGTTCAGCCACAGTCGTCATGAAAAATTACATTTTTGTCTTAACAGTGCTGCATTATGAAACTATTAGCAGAGACACTGAGATAGTAACACAGATGTTTCTAATTTGTGATAATTTAAAAACTCAAACGGAAAACTCTCTTGCCAAAGGGCTGAAAGATTGCGTGTCTGTTGAAGTAGTTGAAATTAGACAAAATAATACAAAACTAAGGCCCAAAAGAAATACTTCTGCTTCCAATTACATGCCTTTCAAAAATAGGGTCGGTCGGTCGGAATTTTTTTTTTTGGGGGGGCCAATTTTTTTAATGCAGATTGAATGGGGTATTCAATTATATGCGAGGTTATAGCCTAAACTATTTCCATTGCACTATGAAAGCTATGCAGAAAATGGCCACAAAGAGTGAATAAAACCTACCTTAATTATTGTCAATATATTTACGTTAGATAATTCTAAAAAATAATGTAAAATTCAGTTTGGCGCACCATATGCACAATGCTAGTCAAGACGGGAAACTTGCCAAAACTCTGTAGTGTGAGATGCACTGTGCATTTGCAGTGGCCGCGATCTCAAAATGAACTATTGGAACACGGAAAATACATACACAGACACGAGAGATCAAGGCCTAACTACCGGTAGCATACATGTAGTTTGTTTTGATGTGTCATGCAGATTGTCAAATTCTGTTGACTGGGCAAATCTTTTTGAATTTAATTTAATTTCTAGCGCATAAACTTTTATTTGCTGATGACCATACATGTATGTTGATTCCCCGTGCTCTTCAAATATTCAATTTTTATTTCTATAAATAAATTTTCAAAGGTTTTATTCCAACCCAAAAACCTCCTTTTAAACTTTTTGCAACAGCTGGGGAAAAAAAAAATTTGTTTTGTTTTTGGCACAAACGATCCACTTTGCGAGCAGACTGGCTCCCGGTCGGTACAATATCGATACCGATTATGGGGCAGGAACCAGCCTACTCCGCGAGAATGAGAATGATTGTCTGGCACCCAGTAATTTGAAATTGGAAAGTAATTATTCAATACTATGGGAAGTTTTTTTTCGGTTGATGACTCATTCAGAAGAAAATACATTGTAACTTTTATATTTCTGGAAAAATTACAATTTTAATAGGAAAAGGAATCTATTTTTGGGGAATGAAACTTGAAAATAGCACGGGAAAAACATCTTCAATTAGGCCAAAAAAATAGTTCTGCTTCCGGTTTCCCTACGTACCCTTTTCTGACAGCCCTCCCTTAATTGTTTTATTGGAAAAATGAGAAAATAACACCCAAAACCATCAATTTCCACCTTTTTCCCTTGACATGCAGAAGCCTCCATATGAGCGTACACCAAAAAAATTGCACATATTTTTTTTTTTAAATCCCTACCAACCTACCCTATTTTCAATTGCCATGTAGTTGGAAGCAGAACTATTTTTTGGGGGGCCTTATTGGTTTGATTTCTACATGTTTTATAAACGAGGAAAACTTAAGCATCTTGTTTCATGACTAAAGTTATGCATACAGTTGTCAACTACTAGGCAGGGTACCAGACTAGGGTCAAAGTTGAACATGACTCACCCGTTTTCCAAGCAGCTTACAATTCTTTGCATTTGAGTGAGTGCTTTAAGCCATTATGGTCAGAGCACAGGGAGTTCAGCTGGCCGCTAGAGTACCATGTGTAACAATCTTATTTTTTTTCGTTGGGCTCTGCTGTTCCAGCGCTCTGGCAATGTTTTCCCTTGCATTCATGAGGGTACAAGGAGTATGTGTACACATGTGAGCATATTTCTGTGAAGCTCTACAGCCAATTCAGCTGAACATTTTGTGATCGTGTGATGTTGATTTTGTAAGTTTATATTGAGAAATGTGGCTTTCATCTTTGTCAATTCATCCCAAAATGAATCAACAAAACATGTACATGTACATGTGAGCACAGAACAAACAATAACTGCTTCATAGGATTAAAAATATGCTGCAGGTTTAATATTTACACATCTGGTAGGAAAATTGTGTGATTTGATCTATAGAATGTGTAGAGAATCTTTCGCCTGAAATTCCTCTTCTATTTTTTTTTGGTTGCATGTACGTGTGTTATTGAGTGTAAAAAATATGACGCTTGGGAGTTAACCAAAACATCTGCTTCCGAATGCCCGACCAACTCTATTTTTACCAACCGACCCTTCATGTACCTTTTTTATCAGCAAGTTAAAAAAAGTATGCAATAGTATTCATGTTGTTTTTTCTGTCTTACCAAACACGCTTCTCAACAACATTTTTCTTATGTAAAAAAAGAAATGCTTGTAACATTTCTAGCATGTTACTCCACGATGGTGAAGGTACATGTGGCATGCATGCAGTAACATTAGACTGGTTCCTGCAAATTTGACTTTGTAAAAACATCACAGAAACATCGACACATAAACATCGACAAATAAAGTTGTACAATGTACATATTTTGTGTTCATGTATTTTGGCACTTTTTTACAAGTATTTATATGTATTTCAAGGTTTTGACTCTTTACTTGTAGAAATACTGCATAGCACGTTTTCCAAATTTTCCACCACAGGTGCATGCACATGGTTGCCGGTACACATGTCAGTCCATGCAGGCTGATAGCTGTCGTACGGACCATATTGGCCAGTTTCCTTATTAACATCGTGCATTAAGTGGTGTGCACGACGTAAAATGGTCATTATTTTTTAAGAATCATTGGCCTTAACTTTTTTTCCTCTTGAATTAAGGCCAAAAATGAACTTACGATCGAGTATAAGCTTTATGTGGCCTCTCTGGACTCCCATATATTTGCACTAAGTTTAGTCAGGCACCATTTGCAGTCATCAGCCGACATTTGAAGGGAAAAAAAGGGTACAAAAAAAAAAAAGCTGCTTCGCCGCACCACTTTTGGGGCAAGCTCCATACCAGAAACAGGAGAATTTTTTGTTTTGGCCTATGGCATGTTTAAAAAAAAAAAGAAAATTCTTTTTGGGGGCTAGTTTGGATAGCTTTCGTGGTGTAAATGGAAATAATTACAGCTGAAAAATACACATTGGGTCATAAGTCTAGGCCTTCCTTGACTACATGAAATGATGAAATCAACGTAAAAATAGTTCCTGACCGACCGGAATCGGAAGTAGATCTATTTTTTTCTTGGCCTTGTTTGTGTGTGTGTGTGCCAAGAAAGCTGTTTAAAGTTTATTTAAGTCACAAATAATGATGTACCGGAAAAATGTAAAAGTAAGAAGCTATACATTTAAAGAAATCATGCAGCACTGTAGTACAAACGCTAACAAGTGAGCTGCAGTGGCGTAGCCACGGGGAGGCGTGGGGGGCGACAGCCCCCCCCCCCCCCCCAATGAAACCTTGTTGCCCCCCCGGTCGCCCCCCACTGAGATTGATTTTATAATAAAATTATCATTGATCTACATGTACATGATGCCCCCCCATTAAATGTTCCAGCCCCCCCCAGCGCCCCCCTCCCCCCCACTGAAAATTTCCTGGCTACGCCACTGGTGAGCTGAACTCATTACCTGTGAGCAGAGTTCCATTTTAGGTAAAATTGTTTAATGAAGAAATTCATCATTTTTTTTTATTGTGTTAAGCCATTCCAGTTGAGAAACTGTTTTTAATCAGCTCAAGCAACCACATTGGACCTGTGTGGGGTACTAATCTCTACAGACTTCAAATAATGGGGAATGTCTTGTTTTCATGTCAGTCCAGGTGGTCATGTTTTACTAAGTATTTTAGTGATGGGAAAAGTCAGTGTGTTTTATTTGTGTGTTTTTTCTTCCAGATCTCGCAGCTAGCTAGCCCCTCCACATATTGGCTAGGGTCGGTTGCGGAGCCTTGGCAAAACTGGGAGCCTTAGCAAACTACATGTAGGTTGTTGACATCGCTACGGTTCCAGTGCCCGCCATGTCATCACGCACCCCTGTACTGTCTACTGTACACGAAGACAGGAGGCACCATGGTCATGTGAGTTAACGCATACATGTGCATGTATGACTATCCTGAATTGTGATTGGATTGGTCCGTGGTTTTATTTGAGGAATGTCTGTAGTTAATCTCTCTCTGCCCCCTCTTGGTGTCCCCCCCCCCCCAATTGTACGGACTCAATTTTCAAAAAAATGAAATTGTACAAAGTACTTAAAGTTTGAGCATTTAGAGTCTATCATTTATACAGGTACACATATTTCAATGTGTTACATTGCTTTCTAGACCCCCTCCTCACCCTTCCCCCCCCCCCCCCCCCCTCCTGGGATCTATAGAGTCATTTTTCAAAAGTGAAATCGGAAGAACTCTAAAACATTGAGCATTTAGAGTCCAACAAGTTTGTAATGTGTTTCAATGTGTTAAATTGACTTCTGGACACAAAACATCCTCCTCTCCCAACAACACATAAACCCCCCTCACCAACATTCCCGCAACCCACCCAAAAACCCTCTCCAAACCCCTAACACCCCTCCCCAAATGCCCCAGCCCCTTCCAACACACAACCTCCCTCCAACACTCCACCCCCTCGAACACCCCAACCCTCCAACTCCCCCACCCCTCCAACACCCCACCCCTCCAACACCCCACCCCTCCAACACCCCACCCCTCCAACACCCCACCCCCTCCAACACCCCACCCCTCCAACAGTCCCACCCCCTCCAACACCCCACCCCCTCCAATACCCCCACCCCCTCCAACAGTCCCACCCCCTCCCACACCCCACCCCCTCCAACACCCCCACCTCCTCCGACACCCCCACCCCCTCCAACAGTCCCACCCCCTCCAACACCCCCACCTCCCTCCAACACCCCCACCCCCTCCAACAGTCCTACCCCCTCCAACACCCCACCCCTCCAACACCCCCACCCCTACAACACCCCCACCCCTCCAACACCCCACCCCTCCAACATCCCCACCTCCTCCGACATCCCAACCCCCCCCAACAGTCCTACCCCTCCAACACCCCCACCTCCTCCGACATCCCCACCCTCCAACACCCCCACCCCCTCCAACACTCCCACCCCCTCCAACACCCCCACCCCTACAACACCCCCACCCCTACAACACCCCCACCCTTACAACACCCCCACCCCCTCCAACACCCCACCCCCTCCAACACCCCCACCCCTACAACACCCCCACCCCCTCCAACACCCCAACCCCTCCAACACCCCCACCCCCTCCAACATCCCTACCCCCTCCAACATCCCTACCCCCTCCAACATCCCTACCCCCTCCAACATCCCTACCCCCTTCAACACCCCACCCCTCCAACACCCCACCCCCCTCCAACAGTCCCACCCCTCCAACACCCCCACCTCCCTCCAACACCCCACCCCCTCCAACACCCCACCCCCTCCAACAGTCCAACCCCTCCAACACCCCCACCTCCCTCCAACACCCCACCCCCTCCAACACCCCACCCCATCCAACAGTCCCACCCCTCCAACACCCCCACCTCCCTCCAACACCCCACCCCCTCCAACACCCCACCCCCTCAAACACCCCACCCCCTCCAACAGTCCCACCCCTCCAACACCCCCACCTCCCTCCAACACCTCCACCGCCTCCAACACCCCCACCTCCAACATCCCCATCCCCCTCCAATACCCCCATCCCCCTCCAGTACCCCCTCCCCCTCCAATACCCCCCTCCAACACCCCTACCCCCTCCAACACACCTATCCCCCTCCAACACCCCCTTCCAACACCCCTACCCCCCTCCAACACCCCCTCCCTCCCTCCAAACCCCACATGCCTCCCAATCGTTCCGTTTCAGCAACCTCAGTTGTATTTGTTTTTGTATATGATTGTACGGTATAAATCTGGCGAACATGCTAACAACATTTGGCATATTTCACTGGTCAGATGCCTTGCCCAAACATGAAATACCGGTATGACGTGATAGTGTTTGTTTGGAAGTGGAGTCGCAAAAGATAATTGTCAGATTCTAAATACAACTGCTATCTTGTCACTTGTGCAGTGTGCAAAGATTGTAAATTTAGGTAATATTTACAAAAACGTAGTTTATTTTGTCTAGGAGTCATAGCTCATGAGAAATGTTGCATTGAACTCTACTGAAATGGCTGCTTATTCACATGCCTATGTTATGATGAAACACACGCTGTATATCATGTACATAATAAGCATAATGTTTGAGGTTTGTCAGGAATTTTTGCCGTAGGGCACAACCATATTTTGGACTTTGCATACAAATTTATCTGCATGTATACATTTTCTTGAATTTCCTACAATTAACTTAATTTTAAAAAATGGAAGTAATAAATTCCTTCCAGTTGGCCCAAGTTCAAATCCTATTCAAGCAACAAGTTTTTATTTGAGTTTTGTTCACTTCTGTTCTTATTCATTGTGCTTTTTAAGATAAGAAACTTATATATTCTTTTTTTGGTAATCAAAGTAACAATTAAAGCACAAACTTAGTAGTACTTAATAATATAATAATTTGTTAAAAACTGATGTCAAAAAGAGTTCATAGGCGTGTGGCCATTAATTGATATTGATTTGTGGAAGTTGTTACATGTAGATGTTAGTTTTCCAATAATCTTTTTATTAGTTTTCTCACTGACGTTATGATTTAATTGTACACAAAGTGGACACACTACAGTGTAATTTTTATCAACAGACACATTTTCAAAATTGCTGATCAGAAAATAGATTCAGAAAATAGATCTACATGTATACATCAACCAAACCAGAGCCAATCTGAAGAATGATGGTTGTTCATGCAGATGTCCCAGTGGCCCATGCTAGGTCAACATCCCCAGACTGTGGTACGATCCTAATGAAATTATGATCCAGGCATGCGAGCAAGTGTATTAAAAACCTCCCCCGGCATATACATAAAAAACGTGTACATTTGTATATGTACATGTACATGTACCACAAGATACATGTACATGTACCACAAGATACATGTACATGTGTACATGTAGCTAGACTGGTGCTCCTTGTGTGTACACACATATACCTGTGCAATTACAACGCAGCCATTTTGTCATCAAGAAGATTGTCTGTGCTGCATCTTATTGAATGAACCCATGATTGACCCACATCTGTACACGTACATGTACGTACATATGTACAGTACGCTGCCTGCTTTTCAAAGCTTGATTTTCAGTCAGAGTCTGTTGATGAGCACAGTTGAGTGAGAGTTGTGGAGGTTCGTGCAGTCAGTATCAGCAGGCAATAGGCATTGAGAACTCAGCAGTCAAGCTTAAGAGTGCTCATTAATTTGAAAAAAATTTTAAAATTCACATTTTGGAATTATTTCAAAGTCAATATACGGTAGCTTCATACAGTGAAGAAAACCCCCTAACCGCCTTGGCCTTTTTGGCTAGGACCCATCCTCAATCAATGTAAATATCGGACACAGCCTCAATCCTCCAAAATCATCCGTTAGTTCTCGAATTTTTTTTCAGTGGAGGAGTGGCCACTGCCTCAATCCTTCACAATCCTCCAACAATCACCCTGAATAGGTTTAGGAAGTGCCGATGATATCCAGTATCATCTAAGCTTAAATTTATGCATGGCTAAGCGTAAACAACACAAGGTAGGCCTACAGCTTAATTAAGACCTTGAGACAGTGCATTCGCAATAATCAACGGAGGATGATTTTGAATACCTGGTGGATTTTGGATGATTGCAAGGGTTAGGGTTAATGTCTTATACTGGGCACATTTCAGCCTGTCTCATGATATCACTTCTCCAACTTTTCTCTTCTCCAGAACGAGTAAATCCTACTTAATAGGGATTGATTCGATTTTTCCTTTCTGATTTTGTTACCTTCAGGGAGATGATTCAAATACATCATCGTCGAGAAGTCGGAGTACAAGAATGGGCGATGACCAACCACACGTTGGTAGATACCGCCTCATCAAAACTATTGGCAAGGGGAACTTTGCCAAGGTGAAACTCGCTAAGCATATACCGACAGGGAAAGAGGTAAGCCACAATACCAGTCTGTTTGTTAGAATGTTTTATTTTATTTCTCTTTTTCCTGATAATAATAATGTGGTGCTTATAATATAGCGCTTATATCAAAGGTCTCAAAACTTCATGATTATTACACCTGTTCATTAGGTCATTCGACCATTATTTTCTGCAGCAGCTCGAGATCAGCGCAATCTGGTCTCTGCCACAGGTACATGTACCGGTACGTGTACCCTTTTGTACTAATGGGTGGTGAGAGGCAATTGTAGTAAAGTCTCTTGCCCAAGAACCCAAGCAACACGTTCCCTATGAGGGAATTGGTTGCTAGCAAACAATTCTGTGCTAACCCTGTAAGCACGGAATCCTTAGTTACGGGATGTACGCACGCAAAAAGCCAAAATTCTTTGCTAACCTGTGAGATATGCTAACACTACAGTAAACACAGAAGTTTTTGCTAAGCAGGGATTTTTCTAATTAATGGTAAGCAGAGCCACGTCATTGGGCCAAGTTGGGAATTCAAGTGATTTTTTTTCTTAACTGTGAAAAAGAGGCTTTTTTTGTTCTCACTGTTTGATTCAGTTGAATTCAGAGGGAAACACAGACCACACTCGTGATTATGCTGTTGGATTCTGTTAGATTCAGCAGGTTTCTTAAAAAAAAAATTCATTGAATAGGACTGACTGTCATTTTTATCGTTCAGATCCAACATTTGTTTTTTCAATCAATATCTTCCTTATTCATGGAAGGACTGTGTAAACGGACCTTTTTATTTGATCAGTGCACGATGCTGTGATAATTAAACAAAATCTTTCGGAAGCTTCAATATTTGTAGAGTGAGATAACACAATTCTCTTTTTCCCTGTAAGCTGTTAAAATCTTTGCAAGTTACCATAATATTTACATGTAGTTCCTGCACAGTTTACATGTACATCCAAATGCACAAAAAGTACATGTATACAGAGTCAGTCTGCAAATTAACATTACAATTACATGTATATGTTGGCTGTTGTCATGTAAAGGTTAACCCTAACCACCCCAACCCTTCAAAATCCTGCATGTTTTGTTTGATTCTGTTGGAGTGAGTACTTCACTAGTAAACTGATTATGCTTTAAATGGGGTCAGGCAGACTACTACCATTATCAGAGTCCAACAGTTTGGATGTTGAGTTACCTTGGTGTTGGATTTTGCAAGAGTGAGGAAGGTTCCTAGTGAATTGCTCAAGGGGGTTAGGGTTAAGCAAGATTCAAGCAAGATTTCTCTTTTGTGTTCTGGTTTTTTTTTGGCCTGGGTTCAGTTAGACCCATTCAAGGGTTTCCTGTACTCTACAGGGTGAGTAAAAAAACCCAGAAACCCAAGTGTCGGGACCATTGTTTTAGTGAAGTTCTGCATGTAGCACCTTCAAAATCTAGGATATGAAAGCCCAATTCATAAGCTTTCTTTTAGTAAAGAATCATTCAAATCACTCATGTACTTTTCAAATTACAGAATTATAAACACAACCACCGTTTCAAGGTTCTGTCCACGGATCACAAAAAAGTTCAGTGCTCTTTCAGCAAAACAAAAACAAATCACATAGGGATGTGTATGAATTGTTTTCGTTTTGCTGAAAGAACGCGTACCTTTTTTGTGATTCGTGGAAAGGCGGTGGTTGTGTTTAAAATTCCGTAACTTGAAAAATACACGGGTGATTTGAATGATTATTGTACTAAAGAAAGTTTATGAATTGGGCTTTCATTTCCTAGATTTTGAAAGTGCTACATGCAGAACTTCAATAAAACAATAGTCCCGACATTTGGGTACATACTCGCCCTGTACAGGGTGAGTCAAAAAGAAAGTGACCTGGATCAATGATTTTTTTTTTCTTAAAAAAGCAAATCAAATTTGATACACCAATGAACTATTTCTGAAAACAGCATGTTCTTCCACTCATCTGTAAAAAAAGAAGAATTACTGAAATTGATCCATGCTATCAGAAGTTATGCATGTTTAACTAAGAGAACCTATTTCTATAGCTGTCCATGGAATGCCATTGGAAGCTGTTGAGCTGAGTGAGAATTACAGATTGCACACAGGCATTCAAATACAAACAAGATTTTATTATTTTGGATCAAGATTTTGTGGTTTGAGTATTAGGCACAAATCAACTCTTTCTTTTCTGAAATATTGATACCAGTTTTGTCTGTTTTTCTTTGCAAATTGTTGTTCATTCACAGAGGTGGGAAAACGGCCATGTTTCATTGTATTTAATGGGTATTCATCAGTTCGTAGAACTGTAAATGATCAGTGGTTGACAGCTGCATTTTGTATTTTTTTTAAAAATAGACATAACTTGGGAATACATGGAAATTGCATGGAAAAATTATTTTTTTGTATTAATTTGGTCACTTTCTTTTTGACTCACCCTGTTATAGCTGACCATTGAAGCCCTGCTCTTGATGCACAAATCTAACGCTTTTGACCAAAAAAAAATCTGCACAAAACACTATTACATTGTAGATGTAGATATATATAAAAGAGTACAGAATCAGACAAAAGGTTTTAAGAGCAAGCTAGCGTGAGTTTGGTTCACATCGGTCACGTGCGTTTGCATAGCGTGAGGAGACTTTGTCCGCGTCTGGCAATGGACGTGTGACCCAATGAATGGTTTAGGCTCTTCAAATGAGCTGGATATCTGGATTGTGTTGTATTGTGTTCATGCCTATTTGAAAATCTGCTTAATAGTTTTGTTTGTGTGCTGGTTTGAGTGTTTTGGGTTTGTTCAATTCGTCCGTATGTATACATTGTTAAAGTTCATCTGTTGTGCTGGAATTTTGTTTGGTTGGTGAGACATAAGAAAAAACAGTTGTTGTTTCAGTCATTGAAATTCTGAGGGGAAATTATGAGAAAAGAAATGACAAGATGCATTTCACTGCGCTTCTTTTGAGGTCTTAGCAAAGTTCTGATTACGGTTAATTTTGGATGCAAAATACCCGGTAGTTGGATTGCTTTTCCAAACTGTGTGCTACATGTAAGTGAATGAACATTCTCCCTCCCCCCCCCCCCCATTTCGTTTGTTGCTTCATGCTGAAAGTAATAAAATCAGTATAATTTTTCTTCAAATATTTATCTTAATATTTGAATATATCAATTGGAGCCAACATTAGTAATATCTTGAGTATTTTGGATATTTCTTCACATTATGAACAGTGAAATATCCTGAAAATTTTGCTTTCTGTTTTAAGTTTGCTACCAGAGGAGTCCAAATCTATCTGTTCTGAAGTTTTGTTGAATTTTATGGATCTGAGTTCTGAATAAAATTCCCATTGTTGTAGCTTATAGATTCTTCTTGAATCAGCAGAACACTAGACAGAGTTTACATGTAGTTTGGATTTATTCCCCCAATACGGCTAGTTAGTAGTCACTGACAAGCATGATATTTGAAGCCAAATCCATACTTGGAAGTTCGGCAGCCCTACCCCCCCCTCCACACACACACACCCATGTGTGAGGCATGCTCAAAATTCCCAAGACGGAATTTGATTCTTCCTGTTCATAGCGACATCTACTGTCCCGTTGGCTTTAAAACCCAAATCCAAGGAATAAAATCGGAATCTAGTCGTTGGACAAAGACCATTTGACATTGAGGCAACACAACAATCAGCAGTTTCCTTTGCATTTGATCCACTTGTAATTTATCTCTCCCCCCCCCCCCCCCCGCCCCGCCTCCCACACATCTGCATATGATGGCACCTCATTTTAGTTAATTATGTACATTGGTCATCAGTCACTTGATTGGCCACATCATATTAGCAGGCCACAAATGTGAAGGACAAATTGGAACTGTCTCCTATGACTAAAACACTTGGAAAAGGCAAAATAGGATGAGACATCATATCACTCACTCATTTTCATGGAATTTCAATGATGCATGAAAAAGACACTGAAGAGTAAAATTAAGTGCTCTTGTATCAATCTTCTCGGTTTTGCACTGGTATTCTCATTAAGACTTGATAGTGTGACCTTCTGTTTGGACTTTTGCGAAGGAGAATTTCAAGACTGCAATTTAAAACAGGGTTATTGTGAAGTTTGTCATGTACATGTAATGTCTCATCTTGATATTTGTTTTTGAAATTTTTGAATAATTTGCAAAAGAATTATTGTTGAAACTTTGTTAAACACCTTTAGAACTAATTACATGTATTTGATTTATTTGGTTGTATGATAAAAGAATATTGGTTTCTCTGCTTCTTTATAAATGCATCACACACTACAAAAGTGTATAACTTGTGATGGAGTAATTACCTAATCAGAGTTGGTCAAAGAAATATTTATATGAAATAAATTTTGAATGATAGAGTAGGCCTACCTGATCAAAAAACAACAACATGTAAGTACTCCAAATTACAGTAAGTGCTGCAAAATATACAGGCAGGACATTTTTCCGACTTTTGTCCGAAATCAGACTTTTTAAAATCTGAGACAAAGACATTAGTAGTATAGAAAGATATTCAGGCCTTTCATCAATTTTCAGACCTTTTTTTTTTAAATTGACAATCTCATCCCTTACAATACTTTGCAAATTTAAATTGAAACTCTTGCAAATTTATTCCTCAAAACCCTAACACTGCTCAATCCAACAGGATCCAACCATTTTACATAACCGTTGGGTCGTGTTGGATTGAGCAATAAACCCCTTACAAGTATGTGTTCCTGTTAAAATCTGTTGGATTCAGCAGGCAACTGAAAACATTCGGAGTCGGATTCTGTTGGGTACTGAATAATAACGCCAAGTTGGACTCTGTTGGATCCAGCAGCAAACAGAAAAATAAGGCACAGTTGGATTCTGTTGGATTGAACATGCCAGTCATTTTATATGTTCAGGTACCCAACAACTTGGCAAGTTGGATTGTGTGGGACGGTGTTGGATTGAGCAGGAAAGTGAGAAAACTCATATGAGTAACAGTTGGACTTTGTTGGATTTAGAAGGGGAACTACCAGGGGGGTTAGGAGTCAGTAGATACATTGTACTGACGTGATTGATTGAAATATGTTCATAAAGGGAAAGACCAGGTTGTAAAAGCCATCTCATTAAACTCCCTAGCATCATTTACTAGGAACCATATACCCATCCTGGCAAATTCCAACACTATATGGGAAACTGCACGCACATATTTCTGACTTTTCTGGAGGTGCGCCAACCCAATGTAAAAGACTGTCAGTTTAGGGGTACTGTACCCATCCTGACAGATTCCAACAATACATGCTGTTGAGGTTTGATGGGCTGAGTTCTGTTAGGGTTAAAAACAAAAAGCAGGAAATTAGGCAAGGAATCTCTAGTCTTATCTACATGTAATTTGTTTTTACTACACTTAGTTGCCCGTTTCTGTTTGTGTTATGCAAGATGTACTTTATACATTGTATCTCACAAGATAAAAATGTTCAGTGACATGCTTTGAGTGTGAACTCGTATGTTAGTTCAGATCTTGTGTAATGAATATTAAAAACCTTTTTTTTTTTTTTTTCGTCCGCTTTGCGGGGAAGACGCTGCCTCCTTTTCTGTTTGCAAGAAAAAAGAAAGTTTAAAGTACAAGTATGAGTAACGTTATATCTTGACTACATAACCGTGGAGAATTTTTATGCAATATGCACGCATGTAGAGCAATGTCATGGTTATTTTTAGCGTAGATGTTTTAAATATAACCTTTATCTCCCTTTTTTGCATTTGCAGGTGGCAATAAAGATAATTGATAAAACTCAACTAAATCCAAGTAGTCTTCAAAAGGTAAGGAATCCCATAGAATTTGATCGTTATCACTGAGTTATCTTTTGTCTTAGAGACCTGTCTTAATTTATAATGGATTCTAATCAGATTATGAAGTGCAAGTACGGTAGACTAATACCTTTTTTTTGGGGGGGGGGAGTTGCTGAAATTGTTTTTGTTTGTTAAAACTTCCAGGGGACTCAGAAAATGTTGGAATTTTTTAAATGTGTGAAGGTCTTGACCTTTTTTGAACTGTCTTCTTGTAATTTTACGCTAATTAAAATTAGACAAATATGTATCTCGTAAAGCTAGAACTACCCAATTTGTAGACTTTATAGCTATTGGATGTACAAAATTACATGTTCAGCAGTTTTTTCTGTTTCTGATACTGTGAGTATCACATAACAACACCTGAATCCATGAACATGTACACATACATGTACATGTAGTAGCTGTCCATCCTCTTGTGTGTCACTATCATTACCAAGAACATGGGATCTGTAAGTCTCCAGACCCCAGTCAGACTTGAGAAGAAGATCCGACATCTTTATAGTCTGGTCTATCTTTAACGACTCGGCGATTCAGGGCCTTGTCACGGATGCGAGCATAGTACGCGTGGTGCCTTTGCTGGGTACTTTAGATGGCATCTCACACTGGATGCCTTGCCTCATCATAACTGATCACACGGCCCCCAAGGAGATTGCCAAGGCATCAGTCTCCTTAATGGCCGTCGCTGCTCAGCTCCCCTTGCCTCTTCTCTCCTCGATCTCTCCCAGGGAGATGGGATTATACCCTTGAACGGGCCAGAACTGTAGGCATTTATCACATGAGTGAAGACGTGATGCCGTTCGTCGGATGACATCCCAAAGTGCTCATATACCCGATGATAGGTTCCCTTGTGTGCGTATTGTCTAGCCGCGGGAGTGGTACCCTAATACACGACTTGGAAAAAGTCAAGTACATGGAAGACATCAAACGGCACCAGTCTGTTTGGTAATGAGATATTATTAGGCCTGATATTCCCTGCGGCATGCCGTGGCTGCATTCCTTCATGAATCTGTGGTTCCAGACAATTTTTTATTAACATGTGCATTACCTGTAGTCATTCATGCACAGTATAATGCATGTTGGCCCAATGCATGCATGTTGTGAACTACAGTGTAGGTAGTGTGACTTCACACGTGAATAACAAGCATTGATAATTTCTCATCATTGCTAATATTTATACACCAGCATTGCACTCTACATGTATGTCCATGGCCATCAACACAATTTCCTAATCTTTGGTTTGGTAAGAAAGTTGGCTTAGGATAAGGCCCACCCTAAACTACAGGTAGCCCTATTCCTCAAATAATAAAATACACGTACATTACTGTCGACATGCAAGAGAGTGAAAAAGCTGTAGAACCATTTGTAAGCCGGATAAAGTTACACAGTCACAGTTATTGGGCTTGAATTTATCCACTCTACGTTTTGCATGGATGTGCTGGAATTTATTGCACGTACTTAATGGAGGATCGGCACCGTTATGTTGCCTGGAGAAGCATAAATACACATCTACTTAAACTTTCATCACAAGGGACAAATTAAGCCCGGCACTTTTGACCTGCCATTTCAGTCTCTACTTTTGGGGAGACAGTTGATTTATTGTGCTTTCACTGTGACTACGATGAAAGATGATGATTTGGTCAAGAATGACTCATGAACCTAAAGTGTGCATATGTGTCATGTTCATATGCTACCCTGATGTACATGTACGCACACACTTATCGTCACCGTTTTAACGAGGTGACGAGTTTGCATACACACAGCTGCAAAACCGAGTTTTGAGAAAATCACATTTGAAGTTGGTCAGTGTTTCGAATTGATAAATGGATAAATAAGTTTATAAATTTCTTATTGAAAAAAATATAACTGATGCGATAGCCCAGTAGTAATATGTAAATAGCCAAAACCTCGTCTCTGTTTTCATTAATAAGGGAATAAATGTGTGCTCCGGAGGTTTTTATCACTCTGTTTAATACCACTTAGAGTCTGGGTGCTGATAATTACCCGAGCCGGAGGCGAGGGTAATTATCAGCACCCAGACTCTAAGTGGTATTAAACAGAGTGATAAATACCGACGGAGTACATATTTATTCCCATTCATAAATACCTTTTCGGTAAAAAAAAATCATATAATTCGTGCAAAACATCCCGATTTTGTTCAACAAATTCACTTTATGCTTTTTGAATCATCCCTCCTGCAAAATAATGGAGTGTTCAGCTGGCGAGTAAGATGAAAACAACCCTTTTATGGAGATTGACGCGCGCGTATCATGTTCTATGCGATGTCGCGCAGAACGCACCTGGCGCGTTGCGTTTTGAATTTAGAACTATAAAATTCTAACTCCCTGGTAGTGTTGCGCATGCCTACGTGAGGATTGTGAACGTTCAACCAATTAAACGATAAGAGGCACTGGATTTTTAGGAGTCCACATTTTATTGTGACACTGGAAAAGTGTTTAAGACCAGCTAGCCATGTCTTTATCATCCGTTTAATACCGGCCACCTGACGGGCTCTCGACCAATAGGAATGGCTAAACTGTCTGAGGTATTTATGAATGCATGTTTAATTGGGAGAAATTTATTTGTCTCTCTGTCATAAAAGAAAAATGAGACCATGCACATTGGTCACATGTACATGTACATGTACATGTATGTAGCATTGTGTGTGTACGCAGATTCGTGATGCGCGTACATAAAATGTATACATTTTAGAACACAGATTCATCACTTTGTCAAAATGCAAATTGTAGAGGCTAGTAAATATGGTGCACATGCAAAATCAATGAGATTTAGTGACGAATCGAGATTTGTCACTTTGTCAAAATGAAAAACTGAGTTACCGCACGTTCGCAATGTACCAGTAGAGGACATCATAAAATGTACGAATATCCAAATATCTCAAATTGTTTAAAATCATGGTTTTGGAGGGATTCATCACTTTGGCGAAATGGCGATGATCTGATGATATGTCAATTCATCATCGCTGTACATGTACACATGTACTAGTATGTGAAGATCCCACAGGTGTAGAAAGCAACACGACCCTGAATTTGTGGCGTCACATCAACATGTTTTGATGGAAATTTTTTAAAGTTGAATGCACGCATGTATTAACTCGTAACAAATCTCGCAATGATGTTTCATGGCATAAAATTCGCATTCACCTAAATTATGAGCCAGCCTTTACAAATTTTTCTGAATAGATATACCGGTACAGTGGTAGTACAAAACTGTACGTGTGTGACCCACGTCCAAACCACGTCCAAAATAGCTGCACAGTTTTGAATGGTACAATGTAGATTGGTGTTGAAGTTAACGGCCACACTACCAAAATGCAGAAACCTGTCGTGCCTTTTCAGAAGAGTGCACTTGACCGTGGGCACATGGCAACAGTGCCATTCATGTGTTCCTAATCCCTTTCTTTTCCCCCATTGATGGGGAACCTGAGAACAGATTTCAGACCTGCACCGTTCTTATTTAGCATTGAAGAGAATTAGGACAAACACGGGTAGCTCTTTTGTGACGTCACAGTTAAGGAATAAATATCAGAGTACTTGATTTAAACCTGAGGTACCCGGTACAGGTACACGTGTATAAGGCATGGCATCACAAAAGACAATTCTGACCTGAAGGGGCTATCCAAAAATAATTATGTTTTTAAAAATTACACACACTGTTAAAATTTTCAAAATCACTTCCTCCGTTCTGATTTCGGTGGAAACTTGATGTCTTTATTAGTACATGTACATTGTGTTAGACCCGGGCAAGAATCAAACACTAGGAAGAATCCCACATGGATTCTGCATGGGTAAACTCAAGCTCTGCTTGGGTAGAAAATCCAAAATCTACATCTGACCCGTGCACATTAAGGTGTAAGTTTGAACGGCATGCCTCGCCTACCGGTACCTGTGTTTGGGACTTGGTTCTTGTTACGATTTCAATACGAGTAGGCGAGACGAAAGTGTAAAAACAAAATTGATTCTAACTTTCTAAATTCCACCAAAATCCTCTTAAACTATTCAGTGGATGTGAAGAATCTTGGAAGCTCAGAGTTAATGATTACCAGGTACATTACATACTTGCACTTAGTCTGCCTAAAAGAAGTAGCTACTGTACCGTAGTTTATTTATAGTGAGACATGTGTAGAGCGTGAGCATGGAGCTGTGATGTGAGTAAATGCACCCTTACATGTACTATCTGAGGGTTTCTGGCTCACGAACCATACATAAACTTGGATGACTTGTCATCGCAAGTTCATTCTCAGACAAGTACCGGTACTTGACTATTCAAAGCTGAAAAATGGGTGCGTTCAAAGTTTGAATAAATTTGCCTAATCATCCTAGTTATCTGCTGATGAAAACAAGACTGTGGTTTAGACAGGGAACTTAATTGGTACCTTTTGTTCAAGTGGATTGTTTTGGTGGATATGAGGCGATGAAATTTGTCCACTAAGATCACCCTGTGTCAGTGAAGCTTGGGAAGCTTGGTAGGTCTTTGGTAGTGCTCCAGGCTGGTTGAGTATCCAACCACAACACTAAATTAGGCATTAACTCACATTTCTCATCATCCCAGGTGTATACGACACTAATTCGAAGGAGTATTTTTCTCAAACAGTGAAGTGAAATCAAAATAAAATTGCAATACTTGAGAAAGCTGTCTCTGTCAGGAATGATTAGTAGCAGGTGTTTTTCCCACTCAACCAATTTGGGTTTTTTTTTGTTAGTACTGTGAACTTTTTATGTCGGCATGTTAGTTGGATATTCTTTTGAAATACAATGTTTAAAACAACAAGTCAAGTAAACCACAATGGGAAACTGACTAGTTTCACTTCTAACCACTGTTGAGTCAAAAGCAAAGAAATGAGATGGAATGTTATTTGCACTTCAAGCCTCTATAATTAAAAAACAAAGTGCATCCTCTAACAAAGAATTCTTATTCAGAATTTATTTTAAAAAGCATTTGATGAGAGGTTT